AGTCATTGTTGGATCAATGATGTAATGTAAATAAATCATTTCCTGAATAAGACCAAAGGTTCTCCAGCTTCTAGCTGTCTCAGATTGTGGTTAGTCTCAGGTGATTAAGTGAGGGTTTAAGAAGCGGACTATGTTGATCTCTCTTCTAATATGCTGCCCCACCTACTGGCATTCAGTGATTTAGAAATACTTTATTCAGTAACAGGAAGTAGCATTCAGACCATTTTCTTTAGCAGCTACACGTGAACACGTCTTTAGGAATTGTCTAGTTTTTACAACTCACTTATTTTTTTGGTATCTGTAATGCCAGTAATGAGTGCCACTTTCATATCTCCAGCTGTTTCTACTCCAAGCTGTTTAGTTTCTCTTTGTATGGAAGCTGTTCTGTATTTTTGACTATTCTCATTATCCTTTCCTTTGAACTTCACCTTGTGTTTTACTATCCAGTCATTCAGCCCTGTCAATTCTTTCTGCAAGTGCTTGTAGTTTGCTCTGGCTTTGATTATCCTGAATAACAGGTATCATCACCGAACTTTGTCATCTCAAAATTTATTCCCCTTATCAGAATAAGGCACCATTTATTAATATATTTAACAGTGGAAATCCTAATGCAGATCATTGGGAAGCTTTCCTTTTAAGTCACTTGTTTGGAGAGAGCTAGTTATTTGTATCCTTTGTTAGCCAAGTAGTAATCAAAGAAGGAACCTTCCCTTTGGTTCCTAGAGCAGTTTTCCATATCTGTGCTGTGTTGTTTTTTTAAGAACGCTGTATCAGTTAGATCAGTATCCACACACCTTTGAATCGTAATGCTTTTGTGAGTCATGCCGTCTCTCCTCAATGTTGCTTTCCAGTATGCCACACTTACTCAGGTGTGTAAGAATCCTGTTCTTTATTATGGCTGCATGAGTTTGCCCATTACAAATGTTAGCTGTATTGCCCTGTAGTTCCCAGAAATAGTCTCTGGCGTGTTTTAAAGATTTATGTTGTACTTACCACCCTCTGTTATTTTTTCACTGAGAACTATAAAAGTAATATAATGCATTCTGAACAACGTAAGGGAAATTATATATTGTAACTTTTGGGACTATAGCAAAAATCATCTCTTCATGGCACCTTGTTTGAAAACCTCTTTTAGTGACACTTCAGTTTAAGGATAATTCCTAAATTTTATTCCCTGGTTTAAAAAAAAAAAAAAAGTGGAATTCGGAATGCAAATGATTCATTTTTATTTTTCAAAAGTCATCCTTTGATACTGCTGTTTCCACCTGATCATCTCCTGCTTTTCTGTGAGAAGACTTTCTGCTTGTGATATGTTTAGAAAATACTGTTTTAGCCCTTACCTTTCATAAGATCTTCCTCCAAATAAGGTTTTGCCGTGCCTTGTTATGTTGTTATGCTTCCCAGTTTAGGCTGTTTTTTTAGTTCAGGTCTATTTAGACAGGATTTTGACTTCTGAAGGATGCCTTCATGTCTAATGGCCTCTATAATCATCTAAATAATCTTGCTTGGTTTGTTTGATCCATTAGATTTTCTTGGTTCATAGTATACATGTTCTCTTAGCCTGCAATATGACTTCACGTTAGTCTTCATGCTGCTCGTTATTTTTTTCTTTTTTTTTTTACCCCTTTTGTCTGCTCCTTTTCATTTCCTCTTGATGGACCAATTTTTACACTTTCTTTTTTTAAAGTTGAAGATCACTATCATTTTTTACCTTTTCCTTTTTTGCTGGAATATTACATTTGAATCCATTAGGGTCACTCTCATGTGTCTTGTGTCAGGACTCTGTATATGAACGCTTCATCATTAAAAAAATTATTCTGTCAAGTCTGGGTTTTGACTCAAAGAATTCAGTATTTATGATATCTAAGCATTTGGCATCGCGTCATTCCATGTTGTGTAAATAGGAGCCTGTTGAAATCTCTCATTAGAAATTATTGCCCTGCTGACTTGATCTTTAACTTCTTTGTACACATCTATGATTCTTTATAGTTTCCTAGCCTTTTTTTGGTTTGCTTTTAAAAAAGACCTGGTGATGATTCCACATTCTTCTGGCTGCGTTTGGATATGGAGTAGTTATTAAACCATCCATCTCTGGTGAAGTGGGAGCAGTTTCGGGCATGCTCTGAAGCATGACTATGTATGGTCCTAAATCTCTACTGATTAAAAACTTAGATGCCCATAGGGTTTTAGGTGCTGAAAGGCAAACTAGGAGTTTGGGCATTACGCTTTTCTGCCCAAACTAAAATGACTTCACTTGTAGGTAATTCCTTGAGCTGGGTGTTTGCTTCTGGCCTGGCAGTTCTGAGGAAGCCTACTATAAGGACATGCATTAGTTGGCAAAGTGTTCCTGATGTACAAGGAAAATCAGGGGTCTCTTCTGTGTTCATATGCATGACAGTGATTTTACTATCCGTTCACCTGTCACTGACTGCCTGAACTCAAGCCAGGCAACTGAGTGCTTGCTTCCTGGCTTCTAATAAAGAATAATTAATATTATCTATAGTTTTGATTTTAACCTTCTTATATCTACATCAGATGGTATGGACCACTCTAAATTTTTTTTGTTTCTGGTGAACAACGTTCAATATGTTCACCACTCCTTTGTTTTTCTTAGTTGGAAGATAATCTCAGCAGAAGTGTCAAGCCACAGCTAGTGGGCTTTCCTTTACTTTTTTTTTCTTCACCTGAAGCAGAGATTAGAAGCATAATGGAGAATGGACATACGCTTTTCTTTGATAGCCTCCCTATGGAAGTTATGACATAGATCATGTGATGCCTCTTCACATCCGTACTAACCTGCCTCTCTGAGTCTGAGCTGAAAGTTTAAAACAAACAAACAAACAAACGAAAAACAAGACCAAAAAACCCCAGACATGCCAGAGTACTAATTTCAGGTCCTATTTTCTACTAGTTTGTGACATGGTGCTTTGTGTACTGCAGTGTTGTAAAACAAGTTGTGTTCCAAATTCTAGTAGAGACAATAAAAGGAAGAGGGCACTGTCTATTTTTAGTTTCCTTTTAGTCTTTTTATCAGTCTTTTTATTCAATTTAAATAAAGGACATGTTTCAGACAGAGGATTCAGTTGACTTTGCTATTTCCTGATGAGGTAACTCCTGTTTATAAGTTTTGAACTTGTACGCCATTATATTATATTATAGGCCATATTAGAGACAGTTTAAAAGGGAATACTGAAATTCATCTTTTTCCTGCTCAGAGGTCATGGAAAGGTCTGCATGTTCTGTCAGGTAATAATAATTATGAAATAGCTGGCAAGATTGTGTACCTGTCTCCGTTTGCCTCATTAAAGAGGAGAATGAAAAACTTGCTGACCGCAGCAGTCACAGGCAACAAAGTTTTTGCTAGGAATACAAGATTTTTTGCTGATACCTGATGATCCCAAGGAAAGCAAAGGCAGCCTAGAGACTTGAAAAGCTGTACAGGGGATTTTACGTCCATTTTAAATTAGAAATTGTGTTACGCTCTGTATAAACAAGATATGAAATCTGCTTGAAGACTATTTTGTATCTGTAACTGTTAAATATTGAAAAAATTATAGAGTAGAAAGTTGCTATAAAGCTTTTAACTGATGGTTGAAAGGATGTTTATCTGAACATGCATTTGCAAGAAAATCTTCTTTGTGTATTGTTATGGAGGAATAAAAAACATGATTTTTTTTTTTTAAGCATTTGACAGAACTTAAAATTTCACTCAACCGTAATGTTCCAAGGCCAAATGATACTGCTTTACTTTTAAAGCTGTCTTTAGTGTGGTGGTTCAGCTTGCATTCACTGCTATCCATAGCTCTTCTGGCATGCTGACATGAATGATAACAAGAAGTTGATTTAATTGGCAGAAAAAGCCTTCAGGCAACGACTTGCTGAAATATCTGAGTATCTAAAGAAAAAAAAAAAGGTCCTTGAAGTGAGGGTCAACAGTAGATATAGGCATTGTCTGAAAAGTTGGTTCTTTTTTTGTGCACTAAAAGCTACATGCTTACCTCAGTAAAAAAATATTTGTTTCGGTATATTTTCCTACTGTCTGCTGTCCAGATCTTTGGGAGGATGAATTTTTTACGCTTGTTTCATTTGCCCGTTTCCCTGTGTAATCTCATGGCGTAATTTATAGCATAATTTGAAAATTATTTTCTGTAATTCTTCTGTGGGTAGTAAATTGAGGTAATAAATTGCATATGCGTGATTAAGGGTAGTGTTTTGGCCTGTAGATTTTTTCATTACTTCTCCATAAAATGGAAGATGTCTTACGTACATCTGTTGGTTTTGTGAGATTAGTAAGCTTAGAGGGAAAATGTAGTTTTACTCCAAAGCCAACTTTCTTGTGGGGATGAGGCATTATGAGAAAGAATCAAGAATACAAACTTGGTTCTTTTTGGAAAGGATTCCTTTACTCTGGATTTTATTAGGTGAATGCATTTTTGGTATTTCTTCTTTTCTCAATGTGGAAAAGAGAAGCCGCTAAAGTAAAGCGAACTATTACTACCTGCTTTGAATTAAAATGAACATGCAGCATGTAAAGAATCTGTATTTTAAGTAAATAGGATTTCAGATGTTTATTTTGTGTGAGATTAGGTGTTTCTTGGTTTTTGTTTTGGTCTGTATCATGTTTTTAAAACTCCATCTTAAAACCTGCCGTAGGCTTCAAGCCTTCAGGAAGCTGAACAAGTGGTCCTTGTCAGAACAGATCACGCTGGAAGGGCATGGCCTGTGACCACACCAGCGGAACCACTGGAGCCAAAAGGAGGAAGAAGAAAGCGACAGGCGGTAAGTTTTACAGATGTGAGTGAGCGTAACTTTTAAATGAATTTGTAAATTTACTTTTGTGATGCCATAATATAATGTGTCTTGTAAGAATGTCAGTAGGTTCCCTTCAGATTATGATTGTAGTTAAGTATTAGAGAACATATTTATTCAGCACATATTAAGTTTATTTTCAGACTTATGTTTCCATAGGGACCACTTTAGGGTTTCTTTAAATGTACGTTCAAAGCATGTAAGTCTCTTTTCAGATGATCATAGTCTCTTAGCTAACTGGTTTATATTTGATAAAGCCTGTAAATAATGAAGATTAGCAGAACTGAATATTTCCAAAGTAAGAACATTTTTTATTGAGATAGGTCTCAGAAGCTGCTACTTTTATTTTCTCCTGATCAAAAATAATAATGATAATACTAAAAATTGTCACTTAATCTTTACAGCAAAATGAAAATGTGTTGATCTCCATATATTCTAGGAATAGGACTATGGTTGCTATATGAGATGTTGTTTGGGTGTGTCTGTATGTGTCTTACTGTCTTCAGCTTGTGCTTGTCGCAAATAGGAATTTTATCTTAATGCATTTACAAATATCTTGTTCTGGAGGGGACAAGGGACAAGCAAGGAGGCTGGACGAGCATATTTACTTGCCACATAAAGTACATAAAATAATATTTTGAACTTCTTGGGGCAATGGGAGCTGAGAATATCTCAATGTTTCTAGCAAGTATGTTTTTGATTAGTAGAACAGATCAGTTTGTAATACTGCCATGGAGGATTGAAAGGGACAAGCGATAAGGAATTTGTTTGTCATCCTCCTGTTGTTTCTATTTTGGAAAAATGTTGTCTCTGTTATATTAATGACCGCTTTCCATATGCTCCTTCAGTATTTTGTCGTAGTGCTGTCCTGAAGGATGAACTCTGTTCTCCTGTGTACCCTCTCTAAGATGGTAGGGTATCAGCTTTATACAAGTTGTCATTAGTGCCTGTGGTTACTTTTTTTTCTGGCTTAGCTGTAATGGGTGCCTTGGGAATTCAAAAACGTTTGTAAATAATGGATCTTTTTGGACTGTTCCATCTGTTTGAATTGATTCACAGTTTCAGTGAATTGCTGTATTTCTTTCCTGCATAGACCATCAGAGCACATAGACATTACTACACATCAGAGCATAGACATTACTAAGGATGTAAAGGATATAGTGATTGTGGGCAGAGGTGATAGTTTTATTTAAACCTACTGATGTGATTGGAGAAAGCGGAAGTATGTACCTTTCCTTAGGTCAGATGAAGCAACAAGCCCAGCTATTTCAGACCTGTGCTTAGCTTGGTTCTTGTGTGTTTTTAGACTTGCTGAGGTTATCAGGGTCTGAATTTCATACTTGATCTTTCTCATTAGGTTAATACTCGCTCTCAATCTATTCATTTCCAGGTCACTACGCATATGGATAAAGAAAGAGTCAGGTATTTTCAGGATGATGATCATATGAGCCTGAAGGATTTAGTCAAAAATGAGAAGATGAGAACAGCAGAGGATCAGAACACGCTATTCATGCGTATGGCATCGAAGGTGAGGTGTGGTGTATATGGCTTTTTATTAAGCATTTTGTAATTAGAAATGTCAGGGAGGACGTGGACTCTTGGAGTACTAGGTACTTTGCTTTTGGGTGAGAATTCTGATTAAGTCTTGAATAACAATTAAGACTGTTGGAAGATGATCTTGGTAAATGTTCTCAGCATGATGGAAACCTGCATGCATGTAGGAAGTATGGTGCATTCAGTTCCTTTATAGAGTTGATTGTGCTAGTCCTCTGTCAGATTTTGATGCTTTTGAGATGAATGCTTATAGTGGGTTGTGCATGAGTAGGTTGCTAGTGCCCAACAAAGTATGCTTTTCCCAAATTGCGATTAATAAGAGCAGCATTTTCTTAGCGTTTAGAATTCCCCTCTTCCATCTCGTAGCTACTAGAATCAATGAGATTTGAAGTAAACTACCTGAAATTCCATTAAGACATGCTGGGTAATGAGATAAATTTATGCTCACAGCCCACACGTAGATTAATACTTTATAGTTCAGTGTCTGAATCTACCTGGAAGAAGGGCCAGCGCATAGACAGATATTGCAGTGCAAAATGAATGACTAATTTCTGTCATCCAAACTGTGTAATAAAGGATGTTTTCTGAGCCTGATATGCGAGTCTGACGGAGAGGACTTTCAATAGCCAGGACAAAGTCTCTTTAGCATGCTTCGAATTCTACTTAGTTATTGGTCCACTATTTTGTGCAGCACTGAGCAGGTTTTGAAAAAGCTTTTAAGCATGGACTTAGCTTCATCGCATACTTTTTTTTTTTTCCATTTATCTAGAAGACAGACAACATCCTGGAGAGTGTCATAAAAGTGGTAGTTTTTAATCCTCCTTTCCTTATAAAATCAGGAAAGCAATGATAGTGTTCAGCAGAAAGTAGTTAACCTGATGCTATAGACCATCTGACAGGAAGCTTTTCTGGAGAGATTACTAGAACGAAAAAGCAGTGTGGTTTATGCATCTTTTCACTGAGGTTCTTCTGGCAGAAGTTCTTAATCTTCTCTCTCACTGGCATACTCGAAACACAATGTCCTTGGAATCTAGTTAAATAAATACATGTGTTGCTGCCGGAGTAATGCTATCTGATTTCCTTCTCTGTGTCCCCCCCCATCCAAAGAAAACCCAAACAAACCTAGACCCCAGTATAAAACTTTGTTTCCAAACCCATCTAACAGTGCAAATTCTTAACTATAATTACTTAGCATGTCTATCTATAGCATGCAAACATTTACAAGTGTGAATGAAAATGTGAGGACACAATACAACTTTATACTATCCTTATCATATGGTAATAAGCATGTACCTGATCAAGGTATAAATAGAATATTTAAGAAAGATAAATGCATATCAAGAGGAGTAATGAATGGTTTATGTTAATACTCAATATAAATGAAGTCAGAGTTTCACAGAATCACAGAATGGTTGAAGTTGGAAGGGACCTCTGGAGATCATCTAGTCCAACCCCCCTGCTTAAGCAAGGTCACCTAGAGCACATTGCCCAGGACCCTGTCCAGATGGCTCTTGACTATCTCCAGAGAAGTAGGCTCCACTGCCTCTCTGGGAAACCTGTTCCACTGCTCTGTCACCCTCACAGTGAAGAAGTTTTTCCTCAGGTTCAGATGGAACGTCCTGTGTTTCAGTTTTTACCTGTTGCCTCTTGTGCTGTCACTGGGCACCACGGAGAAGAGTCTGGCCCCATCCTCTTGACGCTTTCCGTTCAGATGCTTATACACAGAGCCTAAGTCTCTTCCAATCCGAATCCCAGACTAAATATTTTTGCAGCCATGTTCCTGTCGGAATGTCTGAGATGTGGTGTTCAAGTCATATGTTTCCTCTTAAGTTTAGTCCCCAGCCATGAAATTTCCATTCTTAGGAACCCTGTGAGATCTAATGGAGGAAATGTTATCCACTCGTTACTTGTTTGTCAGTTTAGCCTATGTTTTAAAGTGAGGTCAAAGTGAACTCTGATTTAGCAGTCTCCGTTTGCCCATTCCTCTTTCCTAAATGTGGTTATAGTACAATCCCGTTGTAGTTGAAGGTTTTCTTTCCTTTTATTTTTGGCTTTTGTTCCTAAGAGGTTGATGTGGACTTATCTCAAATAATTCAAAATACAGCCTCTGCCGCAGCTGTTCTGTGCATGCTGCCCATTATGTCAAATTTATGATCATCTTGAAGAAGCCTAAAATGTTTCATCTTCAGTGGTGAAAAAAACCTTTTATTTAAAAAAACAAACAACCCCCTGAACACCAGGCTTTTTGCTAGATGGAAATAACAAGTCTTAAAAAAAACTGATTCTTTCATATTTTACTGTCATGTCTAAGGAAAAAAACTGTTTGAAATAACCATATTTCTAGTTTTTACTTTCTTCTACTTGGAAAGCAGGTTGGATTCACACTGCTACAGAAGCCTAACTTTACAAGATATCAAAAAAAAAATCAACAAAATATTTGAGAATTTTCTTTTTGACAGATTTATAATACAAAGCGTATGTGAAGAATTAAGTTTTGTCTAGTGTTAATTTCAAATAAGCTGTCTTTAGCTCCTTCTGCCTTTGATTGTTACGAGTAGTCCAACTTTCCCAGATTCATGCTGTTACGTAATCCTTTCATTTAAATCGATAGATGCTTGTGGTGTATGTAAGAAACCAATTTCCAGAATATTACCTCAGTCGAAATTACTTTTTATTTGTATGCAAGAATTCTGTTAAGGGAATTTTTTTTTTTTTTGGATTAAATTTTACTAAAAGAAAGTGAGGATGAGACAGGTTAATTTTAGGGATGTTCATCAGACCATTTAAGTTTTGGTTATAAAGTTACTTTATTTAAAACTTTCTATAGAAACCTGTAACATGAATCTAAACATTTTAAGATTTTTCCTTTTTTTAAATACAGAGCTAGACTATTAATGTTGACCTTTGTTTATGGATTTAGTAAAGGGATATGCTGGAATGAGAGTTTTGCAAAAAAAAGAGGAATTTGCATGTTGCCTTTCCGTGGTTCCGAAGCCTGTAAAATGGCAAGTTGCTTTCAGCCCTGTCGTTTTCGCTTCCTGTGCAAACTTGCGTGTGGAGCAAGTCAGCATAAAACAAACTCATAGTGTACAAACACTTCAAAAGCTAGGCTATAAAAATAGAAAACGCTACTCCTGCTGCTGTTATGTAATAAACCTATTTCTTCGCTCACATGCTGAAGCCCTACTGGCACAGTATTTAATAGACATGATAAAACTCTTAGAAAGCTCTTGTGCACTGTTGCTTCTTACATTTTTTCTTAAAGATCTAAATGTTTGCATGGTGTGCTGTTAAAAAATTAGAAAAGAAGTGAGATAAAATCATTTTGAACACTTTCCTGTGCTCTTCGCTACAGCTCAGGGCAATGAGCAACTTCCTGTGTATATTGTATGGAAACAAAGTAAAAACTATTCCTATATGTGGAAATAAATCAACAACAGTAAAAGCTAGATTAGAAAAGAAAACATGAAAAAAGGGGAACTGTGTGGATGCAGCCTACATTAAATGACTGTGTAAGCATTTGACATTATTTATGAATTATGTTAAAATTACAACATATGTTGTAAATGAAGCCTGTTGGAGAACTACCTTTTTATGCCTTGAAGTCATGGCCAGAAATAATTATAAAGTTAAATGCTAATCATTTCCACTTTCAACAGACGAGTTTTGTAGTTAAAAGGTATTTTCTGTTTGACTTGTATTCCATTTCACTGAGTTGTGCATATAAAGTTTTATCTATCCTAGTAACTAATTATAGCAGAACATACAGTTTCTTTTTAAAGTAACTAAAGCAACAGTGGTCATAATCCCTATATTGAACAGTACTCCGTTGCTGGTTATTTCTTGCTTGACTTCTGCTGCCCTGAGGTAGTCCTGATCTACCTTGCTCGTAAATGTTGTTAATAATGTTTTCTTGTTGGTGACGTTGACAGGGTTTAAAAACATTCAGTGGTGATGCTGTTAAAATCCTTTAGTACTGTTTGGAAAATGCTACCTGTATGTTGAATTAAGCATACAAATGTATATGTTTCTGATTGTAGGAAGATTGGACTTGATTAACAACATTAATATGGTAAAATTTTGTCAGTAGTTTGACTTAAGCAAATACTATTTGAGAACAGAAAGACTGTTTCTAAAGTGATTTTGTCTTGAACAATAGGTGCTAAATGCTGACTAAATTTAAATATGATGAGATGTATTCATGTGTCACTCAGGTTTACTTTTTAAAGTAATAGTTTATTCGTCTTTTATGCAGCTTCCCAAAATATATTATGAGTACAACATTCCGCAGATATTAACTGCGTTATTTAAAATTGAAGATGTCAGTGTTGCCATGACAATTTAAAACCAAACTGATACATTTTATACAATCTATAGACTTTTCTCACAAATTTTCCAAGCCGATGCACTTTTATTAACATATATGGAAATAACCTTAAAAATGATTGTGTTAGAAAACCGGAAAAGCAAAAGTTCAATAGTTGCGTACAAAATAGAACAAGAAAATAGATATCTAAAATATGTATGCAAAAAAGCTGAAAATAACCCACAACAGAAAAAATCAGGTATGTTTTGTTACCGTTGCGTTTCTGTTAAATTGTATTTAATAGGATTTTCTGTTTTATCTCCAAGTATTCAGAGGGAATTTAAAGAAAAAATGTCCATTCGAGGTGTACTATGTAAGACTAATCCACTGTTGATTGAGAGTATTGTCTCTTGCGGTTTATTTTCAGTATAACAGTGATATTAAATTCTTGAATAGGGCTTTCTTTCCAAAGGGTGTACCCAAAGGGCATGTTCACGTCAGCAGAGGGAGAGACGAGAGACAGCAGGTAGCCCAGTTCCAATTGGATGTGTCAGTGGCTGGCAGCGTATAAGGCTCTAAGGGTTCTACTGCGGAATGAAAAACACGGGATCAATATAAAATTAAACTACGATATGCAGTTCCCGGTGACCTGGATGTATGTTGGCAGAAAAATGAGGCTGATCCTGGAGCGTGCCTAGCACAGATCTAGAAGAGGTACTTTCAGAGAGAGTCCCCTGCCAGTCAGAATGAAACAAGATCTCAAATTTGCAAACAGCAGGAGGACTAATATTGTTTGGAGACCTCATTTAGCTCAGGAAAGACGCTTTTCTTCCGTTTTGCATGAATTTATTCATGTTACAAAATGAATGGTATATTATGCAATTATTCATGTAATATATCCATATTATTCACGTTAATTATCACGTTAAAAGATTTTATCAGCGAATACAGTGTTGTAGTTTTTTCCTCTCTCATATCATTCTCTTCTATGTATAGCCAGATGCTGATCTTTGAATTCCTGTGCTGGATGTGTAGAGATCTCTGTCCCTTTTTGGGATTTCTGCCACATTTGTACCGTATCAGAGCGGTCCAAATGACAGCCCAAAGAATCATTTCTGTTCAACTCCTGAAAGAGCTTTGGATGCCTCCCCAACCACTGTTTAAGGGTTTGAGAGTTGTGGGCCTTTGTTGGCCAAGGAAAGCAGAACTGTGCTGCTACCTCTGTTGGTTAAATCAAAATTGCATATGGGTTATGGACAATGGATCTCCCTCATGTGTGTGGTAGAAATTTCATGGTTGCACAATCATGCCACGAGGTGTAGGAGGCTATGTCATTTTGCCTGGTTCTGAGAGTACTGAAGCTGCCTGTGTGTTCTCTCTGGTAAATCCATGCTTGCAAAAAGAGAAGGAAAACTGGGGAAAATAGAGGGCATATATGAAGAATGAACATGGCAGATAAACTCAGAGCAAAAGAGTGAAGGGGAAAAAGAAAACCAAGACTGTAAGGATGATCCATCTTCAATGAGACAGTTTAGTTCAACTCTTGGTTTTGGTCAGTGTCTGGTAGAAACAGGGACTTTAGGTGCCTTGTCTTTAATGCTTGAATTTCTTGTATTAACTTCGAGTGGTTGAGTTAACTTTTTTAGTACATCCTAATTTAAAGCTGGTATATGAAAGAGCCTGCCTGCTTCTTTCCCTGTGCAACACCTGAAATGCCGTGGGCGCAGAATCAAGCAGCAGCGAGGGAGCTAAATTCACAACTTTTAGAATGCATCAACTTTCCCATGTAACAGGTGTGATACTTTAGCTGATGCAGCATAGCAGATTTCCAGCAAGTCTTAATATATGGAGCATAATTCTTTCCGTATATATGTACTAGTTCTGACTATGCTCTGTGTGAAATAAGTTTTTAAATGATTACTCACTTCCCTTTCCAGCATTTTGGAGAGCACTCTCCTGTTCTTTCAATGACTGTGTAACTTGTTTGGAGAGACTTGGTCATAACCAAATAATGCAATTGGCATAACACTGGAAACCTTATATGTAAAAGCAAGGATATAAATGTTAGGAAAGAGAATTCCTATTTCTTCCAGCGTGAGTTATCAAAAAGGCCAATATTTAGAAGAGTAAATGAAGAGAATGAAGAGTACCACCTAATCTGCCTTGCTAGCAGCTATGGTTTATTGCATTTCAGTGCTGACACATTGGTTTGTGGCATTTAGAATATGTAAAGGAAAATCGTTTGAGCAATTATGCCCTTAAAAAGGATGACTTTTTTTTCCAGTGCTACAGGCAAAGAATGTGCTAATAATGTTCATTGCTAGTCTTCCAATATTGCAAACTGTGTTATTGCCTTATTTTTAAAAGACAGGAGAGGTGTTGCTGAAAGTATTTGTCATCTTATATTTGTAGTTTGTTTTATTTTAGTAGAATACACATTTCTTGCTAAATGATATTTTTGTCTGGCTCTAGGTTTTTGAAATTATTGAGCTATTTCGAGGCATGCTGCAGGGACACTGGGGTAATAGGGAGTTGCAAAGAAATGCTTGCCCTTTTTTGCTGATAGTTATTTTTAGAGGTGAAGATGCATCCCATTTTAATGCTCTTTTAAAGTCATCTAAAGAATGTGATAAAACACAGAAGCTTTTACTTCGGTAGTAGCAAAGTGGCATCATTCTAGTTGGTGTTTCTTTACTGGAGCTCTTGTTTTACCCTTCTTAGTCTATTATGAGAGACAAGCAGAGGTTTGTTTTTTTGTTGTTGGTTTTTTTTTTTTTTTTTTACACCCAAACCACTAAATGTTGTTTCTGCAACCCAAGAATCTCTTGTTTAATTTAAATACAGAATTACAGAATTGTACTAAAACAGAACAAGAACAGAGTTAAATTATTAAACTGTTTATTTTAGTCTGCAGTGGCTTCCAGTGGGAAATGCATGCAAGCAGTTAAATGTGTTATAGCGAAATAAATGGTATCAGAGAGGCTAATATTCAGTTGTTTGGCAATGGAAGTACTGAGCATATTCATAAAAAGCTATTGGTCTATGTGAGAGTATTGCAGTATTCAGGGAAATTAAGAACTGTTGTCTAATTTTGTGGGTGAAAGTTGCTTATCTGCCCTGCAGAATTAAATCTTAATTTGTTTTTTAAATCAGGTTATCTAAACAAACTGTTCCTGGGATACTCGGAAGATTTTCTTGTATTTGGAGACTTTGTTTCAATAACAACAGATATCAGTTGGATTAAATATTACAGCTATCTTAAATAATGGCTAGCTCTGAACATATCAGGAAGGGAGACCCCTCCAAAGAGCATATGTGCTTTCAATTTATAAGAAAACTGAATGAAACAGTCACATGATATGGAGTAAGTCCTGTATATAAATATACCCAAAATAGCCGAGAAACTCCTTCTTGGAAAAGAAGGCTCTTTGATCAGACTTCAGCAAGTAATAACTCTGTATTGACACCAAAGCTCTGATTATTTTGCTCTGAATCTTTAAAAATTTCCCTTTAGGTTTAGGAGCCGTGTGTACTCAGAGGAAGGAGACAGTTAGGAAATTGACGAGAAACTAAATTTATTTTTATACTGCGATGTTAGTAATTTATTTCATATTTTAAATGTAAAGACTGTCAGTTGCAAAACTGTTCATTTTGTGAGGAAATACAACCTTGTTGTCTTTGTGGGCAGAACGTCAGCTTCAGCTGCAGTATGTGGTGAATATTATTTTCATTCACCAGGTACTGCAGCTGAAGCTGACATTCTTCATCTCTGATCATGATTTTTTTTTTTTAAATGCACTTTTTAATGCGGGAAGTTTCACGTCCTGCGAAGGAATGGCAAGGCAGATGTACAGGTCTTAAGTTACTCCCTCAACAGATATTTATAACGATTTCAAGAAAACTTTCAGGAGGATCTTTTCGTATGTTGGTGAAGACTTTTATAATTCAGTCACAAAGTAATCCATCTACTGAGTACAATCCTTTCAGTTAACATTAGTCCTTTGTTAGAGCTACCCCCGTCAGTGTTCTGAAACATTTTACGATTTGCTGTGAAGACGCTTTTGCCATTTTCTTAGCAATTCTTGGAGCCAAACTACAGTTGCATAAATCTGCCAAGACTATAAAGGTCCAGCACCTCTAATATCAAGAAATCTCTATGGTGTATTGTCTTTTTCTTGTCATTTTGATAAGGAAATTACTGAAATGATTCAAAGTAAAATTACAGTCGAGTATAGCATAGAAATATTGCAGCACTAGAACTTCACTTTAAAAAAAAAAAAAATTCTTTGGAATACTTTTTACTTCAGATATCTATGTTGACTGTTTAGGGTATTTAATGGCACACAATTTTTAAAGTTGTGTGGAGCAACCAAAGCAGAAAGTAGAGAAGTACTTTCTAAGGTTCTTCAAAAAATTAATCTTTGCAGTCAAGACGTGCTAAGTCTTGATTTAGGCAGGATTTAGGCAAGATGACTTTAAGTTCCATTGTCATCAGGGAAGACTAGTATAAAGACTAATGCTATATTTAAACAAAAAAACCCAGAAAACCTCTGAGTGATGGAGCTTAGTCAAGTTTTCTTATATGGATTTTAGCCCCATAACCTATGTATTCTTCTCTCCTTTCTTTTCATTCACTTTTTCTTGCTGCTGCTTTTGTAATTCCACCTTCTTATCATATGCCTTATGACCTCCAATCACCTTTAGTATCTCCAGTTCCTACCTGTGGACGTCATCTCTCTTAAATGCTGTGTAGTTGAGAAATATCTGGTTTATGTTGGTTCCTGTAAAATACCACCAACTTTCAGGCATACATTTGTAAGAGATTCAGTATTTTCAGAGCTTCCTTTTGTACATGGGGCATTTAACTAAAGCTCATTTAACTGAGCAAACAAAAAAACCTCTAATACAATATGCCTTGTTTCTGATTATGTGTATACAAGAGTATGTATTGTGAAAGTACTTTATTAGGTGGATTGGTTATCTAGAGAATCCGCATCTTGCAATAGTTGCATTCAAGGAAGACTAAATATTGAAAATGCCTATCTTTTTGCCCAAAATGAGCTTAGTACTGTTCACTTGGAAAGAACAATTGTGGGCATGTTTTCACAGAGTATGAACATGAGGTGCAACGTCACGGTCTAGTTATTTCACAGCAGATAACTGCTATGGACACTGATAGTCATAATAGGAAAGAAAAAGGAGGAGGGGAAAGACTAAAATAAAATGTATGATAAACTATAATGAGAATATTTTCTTATTCAACCTAAAAAACCCCTGTATCTATTTAAAGCTGAAGCTAACATCGAAATATATAGTCCTGGAAGGAACCTTACCTTGGGGTGGAATGTAGTAATATACTTTGCTCACTACTGTCACACATCTATACTTTTAATACCTGTGCTGTCTAAGATTTTAAATGACTGTTGTTAAGACATGTACCTCATAGTTACGCGTCTGGCAGGTGGCATGTGGAAAGAAGTAATGGTACTGTTACATACTTTACACTTCTGTCAGGGAAGAGTACTAGAAAGAGCTAAGTAATTCTTCATGCCTATGTGTATATACACATGCAATTTTCCTCTGTATCTTTTCAGCTTATGGAAAAAACTGACAGAGAGTATTACACTCTGGATGACATGTTTGTTTCCCAAGCAGCAAAAGGAGAGCGTAGTGGGGAAGAGGACGAAAGACAAAGAAGAAAAGCAATACATGAGCACCAGCAGCTTGCTGCATACATGGAAAAGTGTCCATATTGCTTTGATAGTAGTGAACTTTCTAAACATCTTATTATTGCAATTGGCACCAAGGTAAGAAAATGGTACTTCAGCACAAAAATAAAAATAAAAAAGAAATTAAGGAAGGCAGTGTTAATGCTAAAGTGCCTATGATTATAAATAAAATCACTTCTTTGAAATGATGTATTGTAAGGAGGAAGAAGGTAAGAGGCAGTCAGTTCATTTCAGGAATTCCTAAAGGGTGAGGGAGAAAAAGATATGACTCTGTCATGAGCGATAAAGTTGATCTTTGATATTAGAACTTTGGATTTGTGGAAGGCGTAGAAGCAATGATGAAAGATCTGAGCGCAGAAATTGGTGTGTAGGTGGATCTGTGGAAAACTAAAATCGCACTGTACAGGAGGAAATTTAAACTCGTTAAGAAACGTACCTCAGTGACACCAAAGAGAGCAAAGTGGAGAGTTCAATTTTTAAGTACAAAGTTCTTTGAAAGGGGCAGTGTTTTGTACAGGGAACCTGCTTATTTCTCTTAGTCCTTTTAAAATATATATACATATTTGAATTTATAACATCTGAAATGCTTTAATACGGACTTTTCTTTTTATCATTGTTTCTCCAGTTTTATCATTCATTTTTGATGTTTTTTACTTGATTTAAAAATATTTTATATGCAAGGGAATTAATTACATAAATAATGCAAGTCTCTTGTAACGGACTAAACAGTCCAATTTCATTATGGTTAGGTTACTGGTTGGTCTAAAAGCCTTCCTACTGCTTTGTCGGTGGATCTGCTGTCTGGACGCTACGACTTCATTGGAGCTGCTGATGGATAGTGCCAAACGTCCACACAACGTGCTTAGGATTTTCTGTGCTCATTGGTACCTTTGGAGCTCAGGTTGCTCAGGGGCTTTACTGGATATGCTTCAGGAGTTGTTCTGTTTAGGGACCTACTCACATTTTTAATGAAGTTCTTTAGCTGTTAAAGCGTCTAGGCAAAGAACAGAAAGAAAGAAAGAAGTAGCTGACGAGTCATTTTAAAAACACTACGATTGCTACAACCTTGCTGTAATTAGATGATGATGGATTTAGTTTGACTGTTGCTGAAATAGTGTATTAGCCGTGAAGAGATTTTTAACAGTAGAAGAACAGGCACTTCATTTTTTGTCTCCTCTTTATAGGTATATTTGTCTCTACCAAGCAACCAATCCCTTACTGAAGGCCACTGCCTGATAGCCCCTTTACAGCACCATACTGCAGCCACTCTTTTGGACGAAGACATCTGGGAAGAAATCCAGGTCAGCAGAACAATCCTGTTTACTAAAGCTGAGAAACTGTCTCATGTTCTAACTGTTTGTTTATAAAAAAAAAAAAAAAAAAAAGCTTCGGTAATGTATTTGTCATACATATCTGTTTTCATAATCTCCAGCCTGGCAGCTCTTCTGTGATTCTGCTACAGTTAGAACGTTCTCACTTTATGGATGAAAATTAGTGGTCAAAAATTGAAAAAAGGTGATACAGGGTGAACATCGATGAAAATTTTCCATTATAAGGGCTAGAAAAAGTTGCCTAGGAACACTGCAGAACCTCTGCACCACTGCAGACCATTTTTTTAAAATAAATTTTTTATTTTTCCCTAATCTGATTTTGGGTGGGATGTCAGGAGAGAGGAGAGGACTATTTCATTCTTCTTAATGTAAGTGAGGTCTTATTTAGAGCACAGAGTCCAGTTTCCTACCATTAAAAAATGATTATTAACAGGAAGTGCGAAGCATGATGGATTAGGCTTTCCAGCTCTCCTATGAAGACATTTTTAAGGTTTTGAGTTTCCTGTTCTTTGCAAAAGGAAAACCAAGGGGGACATTTAACAGACTTCTACCTAAGAGATTGACAGTGATCAAACTATAGAAAGGTTTTATTAAAAATAGATTAATCTATATACTTGAAATGGTCTAAGTAACCTTGATCTTGCCTTGGTGTTGGCAGATGGAAGCTCCTGACTTCCTGAAGTTGCTCCTAACTTTAATTCTCATCACTGATGTAATGTTATACAGTGTCACCCAATGAATTATGCCTCTCCTAAGCAAGAAGGGAAAGGAGTACTTTTGCATACTGTAGAAATTCCTTAGAAAGTTGAATAAGAAGCAAACAGGTGTGACAATTACAAACAGGAGGAGCAACAGAGCATGGGCAAAAGTGATGACTATATTTAACCTATAAATTTTTAACTAAATAGGTGTGTAGAAGGAATGGTCAGGAGTAAAAGATGATCACTTTTCTAAATGTGTATAAAGAGGAAAATAGAATAAACAAATGCAGTTTCTGTATTCAATGCTAGTCCTTTCCTTGCTAGAAAATGCAAAGTATCTTTTTAACTAGTTGGTAAAAACATTATCCTTTGGTCCTGTGGATATATTTATTGCCAGAATTCTTTATGGCAGAGTACTTCAGGAAGTGATGGACATGGGTTTTCTTAGTTCCCGAGTGATTCAGTAGAAGGAGTCTCGTAGGATTCAGCAAGAGTATAAGCATGCCCTTACAAAGTAACTAAACTACCTTTCTGATGCCAGTGCCATATTTTATATTGCTGTAGGAGAAAAAGACATTTTTATTGTACTTTAAATATTTATAAAATTCTGTACTGATGTTCAGTTGCTGTGCAAAGCACATATTTTAGCTAACTATTTTTGCTGTGTTGTTTTTCTTATGATACACTGGAATATAGCAAGAAGGGTTATTTTATACTTTATGCCCTCAGGCAGTTGAATTCAGCATGTTCCTTACTTTAGACTTGTGTGCTTACTTGCCAAAGTAAATGTGCATGTAATTAATATGGAAAGATATAAATCTTTACATGTTCTATATTGCCTGAACTGTGATATATATTAATCTCTTGTGCACCTGAGCATAAGCTGTGCCCCCTTATTTGCTCTTGTGAACAGTTTTGTCTTTCCAGTGCTAATTATTCTTGATATTTTTGCCCACTAAGGATTTGGAGAAAAAGTGCAATGTAATTGAAAACAAGAAATTGCAATCTGGGAAACATTAGCTAGCATCTGCAGATATTCTAGGCCTTTTAATGGACTTGTATTTCAATTGGTATTGCAGGGTAGTAACTGTACGTAATATTCTTTCTTGGTCTTTGGTTTAACGTTCCTTTTCACTTATGCTACGAGAATGGGGTATTAATGAAGAGGAGAGAGGGAGCAATGTGGCTGCATTGAGTCCAGCTTTTTCTAAATCATCACAGTTGAAATGAATTTTCATGCAGTAATTTATGCCATCTAATGAATAGTAGTAATTTGTTTTGTGGGTTTCTTGGCGGGTGGGGAAGCACAGAGAAAGTTAAACTGTTCTACTTATTTTCTTTACAATAAGTTTTAATGCTCTTTTTGAAAACTAAAGTTCCTTTAATTGTAGGAGAAGAGGTAAAGCAATAGGCTCGGGCTGAGAAGGACAGCTTATCGCTTATCTCGTGATTGCTTGTTTTGTTGTATTTCAAAGGGAGAGGTCTAGGGGGAAAAAAACAGACGAAAACTTGTCACATCTGTCACCCTGCCCAATAAAGTCCTGTATTAATCACAATACAGTGATGTATTTACCGGGCAATATTTCCTAGCTTCAGTTCATTGGCTGTTTTGGGTGTGGGGTCGGTAGTGTTATCTTATCGCTGCAGGAGGCAGCTTGTTCGTGAAGACAGATTGAGGGCTCAGGGGTCTGCTTTGGAGGGCTTAAATACTTAGTTAAGGTTTACTGGTTTGGTGAAGCTTCTTAAACTTTTGGTTTGATTCCTATTATGTGAGATGACAAAAAGGTGAGGGGAAGTGAGGTCAGTTCCTGGTCCTGTTGCACTGAAAAAAATGGTGCTTTGTTTTCCATTTCTTTCACTTCAGTATCTGCTAATACATTTATGAATAGCTCTGTTTGTTTATGCTTGTTGGACTCATCAATTTTCCATTTGCTTTAAGATAGGAAACTTTTAAACCTTTAGATAGGATTAGCCTTTTATTTCTATTGTATGTACTTCCAAGAGTTTGTGCTTGACAGTAATGGAAAAAAAAATCAATGGAAAAAGTATAACTGGTGAGTGGTGTCTTATAGATCTATGGTACCTATGGTCTATGAGACTCATAGAGTACTGGTGATTTCTAGGTTTACAGTGTGGAAATGCTATGGGGAGCAGGTATGATCTTTTAATAAGGGTATTTGTTTTAGAAGAGTAGATCTCAAGATCTTAATTTGAGACACTTTCTGAAACATTCTTCCTATCACAAGGTCAGATCTTCTGTGCATTTCCAAATGAATCTCTGAAGGCATCTCTGGAATCATCCACTGTGTTTGAAAAAAATTGGTTCAGCATCTGCTCTGTAGGCTAGAGAATGATGCTCTTCTATCTCTTATTTGCAAATGCCAGCTGCCAAGAGTTGGGGAGCGGGGCTGCTCCCGAAAGCAGGTGCGCCAGGAGTGACGGGTGACAGCAAGGCAGGCAGGGGGCAGCCCCATGGTGCCTGGGCAAGGTGAGCAGAGTCCTGTGATGGTCACCAGGGTCAGCCATAGCTGGATCGCCAGACAAGTCTGCTGTGACGAGGCCGGTCTAAGGTCGAGTCAGGGTCAGGATCAGCCAGTTAATGGCTGGGCACGAGTGTCCCTGCAACGCAGCTTGGGCAAGAGCCAAGGGTGAGGGCCAGGGCTCGCTTGCAGCTCCTGGGGCCAGGGGGCCAGGCCCCACTTCTCACAGCTCCTCCTTGCCCAGCCCTGGCCCCAGGTTGCAGTCACGCCGTGCCGGAGCTGGCTGGCAGCGCTGGCCACCTGAGCGCTGGCAGGGAGAAGAGGCTGCAGAACATGTTGGGAGTATGCAGGGCCCTGACACCAGTGACTAATAGAATTATGAAGAGAAATAACACTTCAAGTGCAACACCTATATCCTATGAAGGGGAACTGGTAAATGTGCATTGAGGCCGGATACATTACAGTATTGCATTTGGTTAGCTTCTGTATAGTGAAGATGATGGTTATAGCCATGGTTTTCTTTAGGGCAATGTTAATATCTGCCTTGAAGGTCAAGCATGCCTAATTGGAATGTCATTTTTTGATAAATTGTGTGATTGGAAGGAACAGAGGAAGGATAATGGCATTTGGAATCACAGAGGCCCAGACATTAACTTCTTGGAAGTGGTAAGCTTGTGAGCTCCTGTTAAAGTCGCATAGTTTTATGGAACTTCACCGTTAGAAAGTTCAGCATAGTTTCAATTTCCGCTGTAGAAAAGAAAAGATGTGGTATTTGGTCAAACTGAGTCTGTACTGTTAAGTAAAATGTATATTTCACAGCAGTTTTCTAGACTCCCTCTCTTTGTATCATGGGAAAATGTCATTCACATTGAACTGCTGAAATACAGAATGAATATGAATATGGTATAAAACACATCTGAAAGCTTTCAGAAGCTAATTCAAATTATACATACTTTCTTTAAACAGATGTTCAGAAAGGCTTTGGTGAAGATGTTTGAAGCTAAGGAACTGGACTGTGTCTTCCTAGAAACAAATATGAGTATGAAGAAGCGGTGTCACATGGTATATGAATGCATTCCTCTTCCAAGAGAAGTAGGAGATATGGCTCCAATTTATTTTAAGGTATATGAAAATGTTTTATCTTAGTCTTTGGCTTTATCATAATATTTTCCTGGAAAACTTTTTAATATTCAGGTACTGTTTTTGAAAAAAATAGATCCTTTTTTTTCTCCGTGAATCAATACTCCTTGATCTTGAAAAAGGTCCTGTGAGGTAATTCTGGTTTTGAAGTAGTCAGTAGAAGAGCTGTATGTCGCTATGCAGTTGTCTTGAGTCCGACTATTGACAAATACTGGAAGAAGAAGGGAGAAGTGTAGTTTCTTGAAGAGCTGTAAGGATTTGCAATGCTCCTCACTTATGTCCTGCAGCATAAACATAAAACTCCATACATGGGCTTTAGCAAGCATAAAATTAGGAAATAGTGTTAGCTATTCTAGCAAATCTGTTATGTTGGGAAATAGCTGCCTGCCTCAATAAAGTCAAACCTACCCAACACGCAACTCCTGTAGCACTGGGACAGGCTGCCTAGGCAGGAATTAACACACTATTGCTTCCTTATTTCATGCTACAGTGTACCACCTAAGCTGCTCTGTTCCATCCCCATTTTGTTTCAGTAGGCCCAAACTCTACTTGTATCTTGGGTCTCTGATTAACATTAAGCAGCATGATAGATCTGTCTTCAGTAGCTTTTCTATTCTCTTTCCATTGACCCTATAAGGGAAGGCTCATTGATTGTTCTGCACAGAACTGAAAAAGTACATACAACTGTTAAGCTTTTTAGAGATTGGATTATGATTTACCTTTTAATGATGTAGGATCTGAAAAAAAACCAAAAACTTTTGAAGGGTAAACTTGACTATGTGCACACATACGCTCATATTTATAATTAACTTATTTGTTCCTTAAACTCATTTTTGGTTTCTGGAAATAAATCATTTTGATTTGTTTTTGATGAAGTGGAACAGTCAGTCTGACAAACAGCAAAGCAATAACTTTTACCACAGTTGAAACTGTCCGCTTGGTTGCTTTCATTCACTGTTAACTGTGCTTCAAGTGCTAGTAAATCTTGTGTTTTCTGTAAAAGAAAGATGAAATACAAAATTTAATGTAATGTCATTCGCATAAAATTTTCATTCAGAAACTTTCACCATTAAAATACACAGCACATGAAATTTAAAAGCTACCTGCACTATACCTTCTACCTTACAGTATACCTTCTTCCAGTGACCTTGGGATATAGAGGTAGCTTGAGAAGTCTGAACACAATCAGCCTTCTAAGCTGGATTTTCCTCTGAGAGTAGCCCCCTACTCTTTTTTTAAAAACTAATGTAGTGCAATGAATTCATAAGGGATTTTGTATAACCGTAATGTTAAAAAAAAAAAAAAAAAAGTGACCTTTTAGTCTCTAATAATTTGAAAGTTTCTTGTTAGAGATAATTTGTGTCAGGCAAAATTTAGATTTCAGAAAAAAAAAGAGAAACAGAATTGAATTTATTATACAATAGCCTCTATAATTTAAGAGAATTCTGGAAATAAAGTTGCTTTGTTAAGAATTAATTGGTATTCGCAGTGCAAAGTATTTCTTATAATTCACTTTAGTACACTGAAAAGTTAGTTTGCTCTTTGCTTGCTGTGTGAAGGACTATTTTCACATTTAGATAAAATGAAAAAACTTTTACAGAAAGCTATAATGGAATCCGATGAAGAGTGGTCCATGAACAAGAAGTTAATTGATCTTTCTTCAAAAGATGTTCGGAAATCTGTAAGTAATAACATGTATATTGAACACTGAGTTTCTCTGCAAATTCTTGTCATCTTTCTGAGTTATTAACTGTTTCAAAGAGAGAAGAGAGGGGAAAAAATTAGATTAGCAGACCAGGAGATGGCATAGACATAATGAGAGTTACGAGTCTGAGTGAACTGCTAATAGACATCAGTGAAAAGATTCCCATTTATTTCAGTAACAGATGGGCTGAGCTGCAAGCATTGGTTGAGAACAAAGCTGGCGTTTTGAGGGCATGTACCAGTGTAATTTTCTTGATTAATTTTAAGAATTAAGATAGATCAAAGGTTTGTAAATTACTTTGCTGGAAAAGCGTTGTGTAGCTTCTGCATTGACCTAGAATAGTCTTCTGTGTTGCTAAGTTTATGAGGAGATGTCGTCATGTAATCCTTTTTTTTTTTTTTTTTCCTAAAACAAGGGAGCAGTACTCTGTCTCCTGGATACTAAACTGAAACATCTTTGTACACAGAGCTGTTAAAAGGACGATATTGAGATTGTTAGGTTTAAGATTGTTCCATCGTGTTAATATTAAAGTAAAATATATGGTATATAGACTTTGTCATGTCTATTTACTACTACATAGCACTATATATTTAATTTATGAAAATTTTTAAATAAATATAACGTGTTTGGAATAAAAATACTACTTTAGGAGAGAGAGGAGATACATTTTGATAAGTGAAAAATGATATGTCAAAGAGGGAGAAATTAAATGCAGAGGAGTAAGGAGGTTGGTGACTGTATAGAAGGAGGGTTTTTGTATATTGTGATGACTCAAGCTAAATGAACAATGGTGCTGTAAACAAAAAGG